GCTGTATACATTCACTACTGTAAACCCCAGCGGCTCTCCAATCTTCCCCTGCTCTTCGGCTTTAGAACAAAGGTGCTATTCAGTGCAGCAGGACAGGTAAGAGCACCCAAATGGAGCTCAAGTGGGCACTAGGCTTCTTGACTAAATAGCCAATGAGCATTCTAATCTTCCATTCTCTGCCTCCTATTCCATTTTGATAATGTACCATCGCCAGCAGCTGCTAAAAGCCTGAGCGAGGAGAGGGAGGGGTATTACACAAAATTTTTGGATGAAAACAAAACACGAAAGAGGTCGTCTTCAAGACGCTTCTGCGTAGCCGGTGCAGGCATATTACACTTCAACATTTTCTAAAGGGCAGCACATTAAGACCAGATCCTGTGGTCCAAAAATGCCACAAAATCAGGAAAATATTCAGCGATGCACATATCACGCTTCTTCCGACATCTTCTCCCCTAGGTCCACAGCCTGCCATTACAGAAAATTACAACTTATATGTCTACATTCTTGGAAGTGGATAATTGGACGGAGGCCCATTATCAAGCACTCAAGCCATGCATGGAGCTGTATTTTCTGCTTTTAATACTCTTACTCTTTCCTACTTAAATTTTTGGCTTTAAGAAATATGAATACAGTAAAAACAGAAGAAAGAAAAATATGTTAGTCAAAATGATGTCTTCATCAGCAAGAGTTCATGAGTCATGGGACTCTTTTCATCTTTTTTGATGAAACTTACTGCATTAGTCCGCTTAGCAGAAATCTGAAAAAAAGAAGAAGAAAAAAACTCAAGTCAAGTCATTATTCTGATTTCATGACAAATGTGGGTGAAATCTTGTTTTAAAATTAAATCAGCATAAAGGCAGTACAACAAATAATAGCATAGAGTATAAATACTTTACAATTTCAAGTATATAGTATAGTTTTTTTCTTCTTCACATTATAGTAACAAGAATAAGATTTTATTTGCATTTGGATCATGAGAATCAACTTAATTTTCATGAAAAGAATGCAAAAATGTTGATGGCCATAAAAGAGTGATAATGATTTTGGGATATTCAGAAGAGAAGAGAAGAGCATAAAATAAGATATCCTTTAATAATTTTGTTTCATACTTTTGATTTTGAGAGGAAATATGCCCCAGATATTTTCCTCAGGTTTTAGTGAGATTAACCCATGATCAATAGAATCACGGTGCCCAAATGTAAAAAAGAACCCACAATAGCCACTGACCCTAGACTAAACGACAAAACAACAAAAGCAAGAATAATACATACAGTGCCATACAAAATTGCACAATGCACATGTCAACTGAAAGGCTGTAGGTCCATTATTGTGTATAAAGTATATAGTGCTTTTAAAATAGTGCTGCAAAATTACGCTAGTTACAGAACTGAATTAGGGGTTTGGGAAATATACTGGTCCATATAGGAGAAGGTCTACCTGAAAGGTTAATTGGGTGGGTTGTCACATGGAGTTGTTGAGTAGCCTGACAGCTTGTGGGAAGTCTGTTAAATGAGGAGACAGTGTTCACAACAGGGTTACAGAACGTGTAAGTGCTAAAAATATTCAGATAAATCGTTCAAGATACAATATGTATGTGCAGGGCCTAAAACTAACTTTTTGCCACACCTGCCAATGGAAACTCTTTTTGCAAAAACAGGCTGTTATTAATACTACAATGACTAAACATATTTACAGTGTTTTTAATTTGTCCTGCTGGTGCATTTTCCCTCAATTTTACCTATTAATTATAGCCATTCAACATTACAGTATAATTGAAAGCCATTATTTTAAACATTTAATAGGCTCTGAAATATATAACAACTTTTAATTTAAGTGATTTTAAAACAATCTTCACATAAACTATATTATATATTTCTTTGATTTACATCAATGACAGACTTCAGCAGGTTTCACTTTAAAATCAGCGCTGTCTCTTTAAAACCTGATGCATATGACGCGGATCCGACACATATCCGATTTTCTCCCAACTCTTTACGGTCATTTGAGTAAAATATCCATTTCAAGAGAATGCCACATTATAACAAATTATTCTCTAGTACACAAACAGCAGCCGCAGAATATGTATATATAAATGTGTTAGTTTGAGTAAGCCCTTTGTTACGTGTTTCCACTCCATCCAGTGACACATGAATGTCAAAACCAGAGAAATCGAACAAAATTCCCAGTGGAAGTTATAATTTCAGTGCAATCAATTCAGAGCTTTGTCACAATAGGAAAAGGTGAGATTTGTGTGGTGCTTTAATTAGGAACACATTGTATCTTGAAATAATTGCATAATAACCCATTAAATATCTCACCTCTCAGCGATTTCCAAGTGCATTTGTTGATTTGAGAACAATGTGGTTTAAAATGCAATCCACGGTTCAAAATAATCAAGTTTTAAGTCTTGCATGGCAAAACGGTCATGTTGCATTTAACGAAGACTCCATTATTTGCTTTGTTCACAGTACTGAAAAAAAAAACATTTAACAACACATATTTTTTGAGTTAGTGCTTGTTGCTAATACAAATATCACTAGTTTGTATTAAGATAAGGAATGTGAACAAACCTCTAGCCTTAAGTATTACATTTGCATAACTAGTCAAATCATGCGGCTTGTTGCATGTGCATTCGTTGCGACAGGTTGCATGTGCATTTTCTTAAAAAACAAATAAATAAGTAAATAAATGAATAATCTTGTCAAAACTATGTTTTTTCATACTTGATGAATTTTGCAACATGTTGTGTCTTACCATATTATTTGAATGCATTATCTTAAGTGCAAACAGTTTTACCGTTTATTGCACGTGTTTAATATTCTTCTCCTTATTTCCCTACAGTGGCGAAGGAACCGGAAGTCTCGCACATTCACAGAAAACGGCTTACTTCCACGTTGAAAAATAGGAACAATATCGTTAGAATCACTTTCAAAACGATCTTTTCCAACTGATGAATAATAAAAACACTGACAGCCAATTAGAATTCACTCGGCTTGAGCAATTACATCAGCAGATAATGATAAAGGTATAGTTTTAGTTTTAAAAATCGTGTTAAACTTGAAAGAATAGCAGAGTCCACACCTCAACAGAATGTTAAAGCCTTGGTGTGGATGCAAGTATAGTTAGCATTATAGCTTCATATTATTGTTCTAGTGTGAACGGGGCTAGACCTTAGTCAGGGTAGCACCATATTTAATTTTAACAGGAATGAAAATGAGGCTGTGAGGGATAGAAGTACAATGTGTTCAATGGATTGTACTGTTGTTTAAGGACGTAGCCTACGGATTGTTCTGATGAAAGGTCTTTCGGAGTGGGAAAAAAACTTTCAGTAGACAAAACACCATAAAACAGTTTTAAAAATGAAAGGGATAGTTCACCTTCAGTTGCTGGTTCCCACTGACTTCCATAGTATGAAAAAAAAAACACTATGCAAGTCAATGGGGACCAGCAATAGAAGGTGAACTGTCCCTTTAAATCTGTCCCTCAGAGCCTCGTTTTCATTCGTGTTAAAGTCACCTGATTGTAGTTATCATTATAGTTATCGTTCTTGGTGTGAACCGACCTTAACACTGACATTTTCCTGTTTATTACAGTAAAGCTACTTTGAAACAATCTGTATAGTATAACGTGCTACATAAATAAATGTGTCTTGACTTAAAACCTTGAAATGACACAATCCACATAAGGAACACATAACAAAAAGACTTCCCAATTGATTTAGATGTAAAACATGTTTTAACACATTACTTTTGCTGAGACCAGGAATGCTTTCTCATATAAAAATCACACATATTGGAGGGGAACCATTTAACTCTATATTCAATCAACCTTGTTGGCTCCGGTTTCTAATCACTGCCCACAAAATCCCAGCAGGGATACTCAGCTTCCATGTCAGAGCCTCCACCGGATGCACAGGCTATCTGAGGACATCTGAGATGCCCGGCCATCTGGGTTAAACGTTGGTAGGAGTCACACTTTGTCGCTGATGAGATGTGTTTTGTGGTGGCTCTGACGCTTTGTGCGAAAGGAGACTGGGAAAAGGACAGCTGTTGCTGGAGAGCCACAGAAAACCAGTTCCTGCATAAAGCACGAAACCGGTTTTCTGCCATGAAATGTTTTGTTTATAAATCAAATCCTGCAGATTTAAAACTGTAAGAATGAACCACAGACGTCCAGCAAGCTTATACATGGCTAACATGTCAGGAAATAATTTCCTATTGTCATTTATGCCTTTCTTCCAGTCCTCGAGCAATAGCGCGCACTAAAGCTAGTATGAAAGCAGATGTGCGTTGCAGGCCTGACCTTGGTTGCTATGGGTACTAGGGACAGACTTATATTCAACCGCCTGCATGAGTTCCTGCTAATTGCTGTTGTCATAGCAACGAAGCACCTGATGTAATGGTAGGAAAGGGCAATAATCTTACAAGGGTCCATTTATTTATAGGGAGCGATTCCACCTTGTGCCTGTCAACTTGGAAACAGACTCAGATTAAGTGCTAACATATTGAACAATAATGTTTATTAAAAAGAAAAGAAAAAAAAGTGTTCGAGAGCACACATAGGGTAATAATTTTGTGCAATTTCCTGAAAAAACAACAACAACAATTACAACCACTGAACAGCCTGTTGTATGTTTCTGTTTTTACACTTAAATTCATCACAAAATGCAGTTGGATCCTAAAGTCTGAGACCACAAGTGAAAATGCTTCTACTTTTTGTTTTTTAATACAATTATATTTTTATTTTTTAAGATCAGCATAACCATATGTGAAAAGTTTAAATAAATTAATAAATGAATATTTAGTATTTGGTTTGTTCCCCTTGCACTTTAATGATAGCATCACTGAAGCTGAATGAACTCCACAAGTTGAAAACCTGATGATCCATGTTATCCAGCATGATCACTGTCCGTTTATTTCTAGGTTTAATTTAGATTTTGAATTACAGGGTTGCATTTTAAATTACGCAGCCATGCGTAGCTGAAAGCTGTACATGCACTAATAAGAATGAAAATAGACATGATGAGTGACACCTTCACACTTTAATAATTATCAAAAAGGTAAATACATATACATAGCTTTGCCGCTACATAAAGGAATAAAGCATTACTCTCCAATAGCGTTGAGCTGAATAATTGAGCATTCAACCTCTATATTCAGACTGGATGTTCGATGATAATGCAGAGAGAAAGACAAACAGGACTTCAGGGTTCATGGGGTTTCTTCCTCCTCACATCCTTCGTGCTTTGCGAGGGCGACAGCCATTGTGCGGCACTGGGGTGTTGTCAGTGATGGAAACAACCTCCAGTCCTCCCATGGTTAACCCTTTAATGGCAGACTACACACGGGGGAGCAAAATCAATATAATCCAAGTCAGCTACCAGAGACAGTTCACAACAATACACTCTCTCTAGAAGAGACGTGTGGGGAACAGGAGTGACAAAATAATCCAATGAAGCCTAATACTCTTGAACTACACTCTTAAAAATAAAAGTGCTTCACGATGCCATAGAAGAACCTTTTTGTCTAAATGGTTCCATAAAGAACCTTTAACATCTGAAGAACCTTTCTGTTTCACAAAAGGTTCTTTGGGGCGAAACAACATCTGAAGAACCTTTCTGTTTCACAAAAGGTTCTTTGGGGCGAAAGAAGGTTCTTCAGATTATAAAAAGGTAAGAAAGAGATGGTTCTTTGTGGAACCAAAAATGGTTCTTCTATGGCATCGCTGTGAAGAACCTTTTGAAGCACCTTTATTTTTAAGAGTGTATACACTTGTGAAATGTGCTGATTTGGACAAAAACATTTAAATAAAATGTAATATTTCTAATAGGGATGAACATTATATCTGCACCATATTTGTTAATGGATATTACAAATGTTACATGATATTGATATTACAAATGTTATTTATCTTTGCTGTCATCTTATGGTCACTTAAAGTTTAATTTAAAAGAATAGTTCACTCAAAAATTCACTTGCTCACCAGTGGATCCTCTGCAGTGAATGGGTGCCGTCAGAATGACACTCTAAAAAATATTGTTTGGACGCAACAAAAAAAAAATTTACGCAACAGTTTGCATCATTTTTTTTTGAGTTAAGGCAACTTCTTCTGAAATTAAGTAAACTAATAACTATATTGTGCTATATATACTTAGAAAATTGTGTTAAAACGAACAATTATTAAGTTGAATACTCATAAAAATTAAGTTGTTCTAACTAGGTTGTTCTAAGTTGTTTTTTCACATTGTTTTAAATTTGATTCAATCATGGACGCTCTTTTAGCATTTTCAACCAAATGCCTTCTGATTGAAACAGCATGTAAGACAATGCCCAGTGAGTTTTCTCAACCTAAGCAAAGGTTGAGAACAGAGTCAGACTCACTGGGCATTGTCCAGCTCTACTCTTCAGCACAATGGTAATCTCATAAAAACCACCAACATAACAGAAACACTTTTAAATACTAATATTTCACATTGTTTTAAATTTGATTCGATCATGGACACCGGTTACAAAAACTACTAAAATATTATTTTTATGTGAAACAACACTTAATGCTGCCAGGAAACCAATATTTTAGCATTTTCAACCAAATGCCTTCTGATTGAAACAGCATGTAAGACAATGCCCAGTGAGTTTGTTCTCAACCTAAGCAAATGCTCTACTCTTCAGCACAATGGTAATCTTGTCCAGCTCTACAACATAACAGAAACACATTTAAATACTAAAAGAACCGAACACTGAACATTAATAAATCTTCTCCTGTTCTGATCTTGAATAGAAATGCATAAAATATGAGTTTATTTCTACATTACCGCTCATTATTCAGTCATTTGTGGGCTAATTTTCATTTTTGGGTGAACTAACCATTTAATGTCTTGTGAAGTGAAAAACTGTGTTTGTAATATACATTTCAAACCATTGTTTCCGGCTACAATATGAGTCCTCTCTCCATAATGTTGCTTTCTCCAGTAAAAAGTTGTCTTGTCTGAGCCTGGACAGAAATATGCATGTGAAATATGTGAGAAGACAACAGGGGATGGACATTTTCACTGGAGAAAGCAACATTATGGATTATAGACAGGTATTTTGTCCAGAAGCGACAGCTTAAAGTTAAAATGTCTTAATGATGAGTTTATGGATTTGTTTCTTACAAACACGCAGCTTTTCGCTTCACAAGATGTTAATTGATTGTCTGGAGTGGTGTGGATTACTTGTGGATTATTGTGATGTTGTTATCTTTTTGGACTCTCATTCTGACGGCACCCATTCACTGCAGAGGATCCACTGGTGAGCAAGTGATGTAATGCTAAATTTCTCATTCTGATGAAGAAGCAAACCCATCCACATCTTAGATGGTCTGAGGGTGAGTATATTTGAACAGCACCCATTCACTGCAGAGGATCGACTGGTGAGCAAGTGATGTAATGCTAAATTTCTCATTCTGATGAAGAAGCAAACCCATCCACATCTTAGATGGTCTGAGGGTGAGTATATTTGAACAAATAATAAAATGTTGTGATGCCTAAATTCACTTGTAGCATTTAAAATGGTTGATTTTAATTTAATTAGATTAGATAGATAATTAGAATAATCTAGAATATTATCAGCAATTTACCGGCCACAACATTAAAATAATTACTGGCCAGAATTGTAACATCTGAGCATCCCTGATTCCTTTCAAACTTCTATCCAACAATCCAAATCTACATCTATTCTTCTACAAGAAGCACAAGTTTACCCTGGCTTGTCTATTTAGTAATTTGATTCAAATACGTTACCACTGCAGTTGGTGGCTTTGCATTGATTTATTTATGCCCAACCACCATCTGCTTAAATGCAACTTAGTCTGGAAGATTCTGACTGTGCATAAACCAAGGGTAGGTAAAAGAGTAATGCAAGTCTTAAAAGCCCCCTGTTGCCTGCAGCTCTGGAGGGGCTCATTAGATTCTCACCCAGCCTTTATGTCCTCCCACCCAGCTTAGAGTAAGAGCATGCAGACTGCCGCTGAGCTCACAGAACTCATCGGTCAGTTTCAGAGTATTGATTGAATAGTCAGCACGCATAACTGTTGCCGTACCATACGGGCACAAACAGAGAATAATAAATAATCACTGCTGCCATTCCGCTGAAAGGATCATGAAAAGAAACCGGATGAAACGCAGGAGGTTTAAAGTCATACAATCAACTAGATTTTTATATTTTCCTAAGAAAATGTAACTGCAAAAGTCGCTGCCACTATGTCTCTATGCAGGTCCAAATGTGTTCAGGGTGATGCCATAAATTTTGAATAATTTTTATTTAATTCCGTACAAAATACTGGTTACTGGTCACCATATAATTGGAGCTTATTAGCTTGTTTTCTGATGTGTCTTGTGATTGGTGGATATCAAACCATCTGTTCTGATTTCCTTATTGATTGATTGCAAGTCAAGTTTTAAAGGGGTCATCGGATGCCCATTTTCCACAAATTGATATGATTCTTTAGGGTCTTAATGAAAAGTCTGTAACATAGTTTGGTTAAAATTTCTCAATGGTAGTGTAAAAAACACTTTTTTTACCCTGTCAAAAACAGCTCTTTTCAGATCAAGCCGTTTTTGTAGCATTTGCCTTTAAATGTTAATGAGCTGTGCTGACCCCGCCCCTCTCTTCCGAGCTGCTCTCACAGACTGTTTACTTTAGCTGTATTCATCGTGAAACTTGCTAATTAGCACATTATTAGGAAAGGCGATTTGCAAAGATTCATTACAAAACATTATACTCACTTCTTCTGTAGGTGAGGCTGGACCATGAATGATTCGCGCGAACAGACACATTTATGTAGATCGGGGGCGCATTCCCTTCAGAAACACTGGGTGGATTTTTATCATTATAGGGTGGTTGTGTACACACACTGCCAACACACATTTCAGTTCAAACAACTTGTAAAAGTGCATGTAGCATCCTATGACCCCTTTAACTTGCTCTTTGTTTGCATTTAAGAGTTTTAGTTTTTTCATTTGCAATTGTTTAGTCCTGATGAAGGCCTGTGTGCAGAAACGAGTTGGCACAATAAAGGACTGATTTTCTATAGCTCTTTTTTTATTTTTTTATTTCTACACTCCACACGTGTTGCTGGTTTTATAAGTACGTTTTTGCTTTTTCCACACACCTTGTTGGTTTTTTGAAGTTGCACCAGAATAACCTCATAAGGCTTCTGGGTGGATGGGCCATATAAGTCAAAAAAGTCCTCCCCTAAGTTTCAATTATATTCTGGTCTCTAGATCCTCTAAAAGGTAACAGCACACCTCAAACAGTGCAGAAAAGGTGATAGTAATAAGACTACTTTTACTACAAATTTCAATTAAGTCTTTTGTTTGTTTTTACTCATTTGCGCATCTGTGGACCTCAAGCTACGAACAGAAGCTTTAAATTCCCATTTGCATGCCATGCAACAGTGTTTAGCATCCACTGCACTAGTCTTTTGCTTTTCTTGTTTATTCTTTTATTAGTGGTGTTTGTTAAGGCATACTCAGGTTTAAGGATCTGAACAAACAACCACATCAAAATCAATCAATCAACAACAAATAAAACACTCTAGTCAAACACTATTTGTGTTTTGTTGAGAAGATGTGTGCCATAACGATTTTCAACTTGCACATGATTAACTGTGTAGAAAAAAAAATCTTTCTTTTCAAAGACGGCTTGCACAAAAATTGAATGTTTTAAAAAAAAAAAATGATAAGAAACTGTTTTTGAAAATGATAAGAAATGAGCACCAAATCAGCATATTAGAATGATTTCTGAAGGGTCATGTGACACTGAAGACTGGAGTAATGATGCTGAAAATATAGCTTTGCATCACAGGAATAAATTACAATTATTTTAAATGTTATATTGTAATAATATTTCACAATATTACTGTTTTTACTGTATTTTTGATCAAATAAATGCTGCCTTGGTGAGCACAAGAAACTTCTTTCCAAAACCATAAACATTTTTATTGGTAGTGTATATTGAAGGAGAGACAAGTCTTATCTAGGGACTAGAATATAATAAAGACTTGGGGTCTTTTGACCACAAAACCACATAGCAATGTGCTAAAAAACACTCAGAATACCTTAGTAGTCACAAAGCAACACTTTGGTAACCACACACAACACACTTTTGTAGTACAACAGCAGTAATTTTCTTTAGAAAATGTAGATGTTGTTACCATCTTCTTTTTTGTATTAATTATTAGTAATACTTTTTACATTTTATTTGACACATTTTTTCACATTCTTTACTTTATTCAACAGCTCCCTGCTCCCTCTATGCTTTTTCTATGTTTTTTGCTCTTTTATTCTCTATTGTGCACAGGAATAAGTGGTGAATAACAATATAGATAATCTTGGACCCTTGAATTACAAATATTTTAATTATTACTATTTTGCATTTACCTTTTTTACCTTTCACGACTGTGCCATTTTTTGGTATTTACTGCAAAATTCACTGCCTAGTTTATTAGAAAACAGCAACATAGTGTTTGTCTAATTTGAGAGTGGAGGTAAATGATGATGTCGACAGCTGTACAGATTCAAGACGCTCATTCGCATTCAAATGTGCACAGGTTCACTTTGGTTTTCACACAGTTACAGATAAGCAGTCATATGAAAATCTTATTGCAATCATATAAAATATAGGTAAATGGAAAATGTTACAATAAATAAGTAATATAGTTCCCTGGAACTATGGGGATATTCTCACCTACAATGCAGTTTAATCCACAAGGAACTGCAGATTTATTTTGCTGTAAATCTTTATAGGCATCAAGTAAGGCATTAGTAAGCTACTCACCAAGCGCCCCGGACCGAGTCCCTTCACCAGCACACGGACGTAGGTGACCCCCTTTGCCCTCGCCTTCTGCTCAAGACAAACATACATACATTTAGAACATTTAGCATAATAAAAACTAATGAATCACTGAGGAAACACAAAACTGCAGGAGCCTAGAATCTGAGGTCTGTCCGAAACTACTAATTTAGATCATAACGCTTGTGTCCATACAGCAAATGAATGGTTATCAGTGGGAAGTCATATACTGATTATACAGCCTGCTGTGACTCAGGGTTGTCATTAGACTCTTCACGACACATGCTGATGAAATTACAAACAAATAGCGTGGAAGTAACCAAAGAGATGTATAAACATGAAACCGAAGATTTGAAATGCTATTTTTAATTTTTCTATTTCTTTTGGCCAGTCAAATTATCAGTATAAACAACATTGAAACGGTCAGTTAGGTACTGCTGATAATCTCAGACCTAAGGATAAATACACGCACATAAGACTTTCATATTTTACAAAAATAAATAAATAAAACACCTTTCAGAAGTGCTCTACATTCCAATTATGGTTTGACCGGCCCTGTTTGTTATATTACATTTTATGCCTGTTCTGACAAAATTTTTCAGCATGATTTTAAATTTAAAGCAGAAAAAAACAGTCAAATACAATCTAAAGAAGGGCACTTTAACAATTAAGCAGGGTGTGGTAAATTACTACAAAGAAATGTGCTGCCATCAAGTGGACAACATTCAAATGACAGACAAAATATTTTTGATGGAAATGTCTGATATAGCTCTACTAGACAGTTCAAACAAAATGATATATTGTTTATGCCTTGACAACTATACTATATTTTTATTACAATGTATTGTACTCAGAATAAGTCTATTTTGTATTCATTGATTTTCAATAACCAAACACAAAAATGGTCTTGAACACATTCTATCTCAGTATATGTTATCAATAACCTGGTAACAATCAATTTGATGGTCCATCTTACCGCAGCAGCTGAAATCCCAGCAGTCTGTGCTGCAATAGGAGTGGATTTCTTCACATTCTTAAAGCCCTCTGATCCACACGAGGTTCGGACCATGTACTGGCCCAGACAATCTGTGACCTGGATATGTGTGCTACAGCAAGAAAGTAAGGACATTATGTTGTCAGCCTGCAGTTTTAATGGACTCCTGACTATGAAATCCCAGTATTTTTGGAGAGATGGAGAACAAATCACAGGTTGTGATCAGGGATGCATCGATGTTGAAATGACTATTTGTAATAATTATTAGTGTGGGCCGAGTTAGGTAAACATGCAGTATTAGGAATAAATAATAATTATAATGCACATACTGCAACTATGGGCATCTGTAGCCATGAGATAAACACAGAAAATACTGTAAATTCATTTCACATGTGCAAACTAAAAAGCATGATGTAGGACATGATATGCAACAAAAGCACCACAATAGATGGATAAATGACAAGCGTAAGTAAGAGTTGAAATAAGCTCATGCTATAGCTGCATGCACACAGCAAGCAAACTATATCTGGACTAATTCCATTTTCAATTGTCAATCGCAACTATTTAATTTTTGTGAAGCAACTTACTTGTTATATGTGGCTTTTATGTGTGCTATCGGTAACTCTTCAAACTTCTTGCTGTCCCATATCAGGGAGCTCTCCTCACCCGGAAATGGAGGGAAGAGACTAAATAGGGAACAGAATATAAGCAACAACAATAACACACATTTTACCATTAAATCTACTACAGAATTTCAAATTATTTATCTATCAATCTATATTTCTATCTACATAGAGATACTTCATTATCAATGATAACTATTATTATCAATGTTTTTTTAATTAATTTAAATTAATTGTTGTATTCAGCATGGATGCATTAAATTGATTAAAAGTGACAGGAAAGACATTTATAATGTTTCAAAAGATTTCCGTTTTAAATAAATGCTGTTATTTTGAACTTTCTATTCATGAATGAATCCTAAATGCATCACAATCTATTTATTATTTGTAATCTCTGGGGTTCATTTATTTCCTAAGAACGGACAAAAAGGTTTGGGAGCCCCTGGGTTAAAGCCCTATTTGAAAGCAGGTGTTTGTCAGTGTTTCTGTCATACTCTTTCAGTCTTTTGACGGGGGATGATGAGCTCTTGGTTTCCACTGGTTTGGCGTCAGTATCTTGTAATCGGATGGCACTGCGTGACAGCGGACGCTGAAGCCCCACATTTCCGCCACTGCAGGAGACAACAACCAATTAGATCCCTCAGTAACAAAATACGTCCTGAATGTGCAAAGCTGGTCTCTAGACAAATGGTCACGACTTTGAAGAAACTCAAATTAGAAGACCTTTTGTCTTGTGTCATTTCATAGTTTTGATGACTTCCCTATTATTGTAAAATGTGGAAAACAGTAGTAATAAAGAATGAGTATACATCTCCAAACTTTTCACTGATAGTGAATATGGTACTTAGGAGTAGAGATCGACCGATATATCGATTTACCGATATTTTTCCCGCTGAATTGAATTCTCTATCGGTTGTCTATGCTCATCGTTAGTCTCGTGCAGTCGGAGTCACGTAGATAATCCGTGATAAAAATTTCATAATCTAGGACAAAAACATTATTAATAATTCTGATATAACATTCCAGTTGAGAAATGCAATACAATACGATGGGGGGGGGGGCAGTATTAGTATGGTACATTTCCGGGAAACCATGGTTTTACTACGATGCATTGTCAAAAAAGGCATATTCATTTAATATGCCCTAAAAATACTATTGTGTCATGTCCAAAAAACATGGTATTACCACAGTACCATGTCCAAAAATGGCATAATCATAGCAGTACATGTCTTAAAAGACACTACCATGGAACCACAACCAAGATTAATGTTATGTCAGCATTTGCTATATGATTGTTTTGTTGACTTAAATATAGCGTCAACACAAAAAATTGACAGAGAAGGAAATGCATCTGTTATACAAATCAAACACTTTATCAGATGTGCTGCTATAACAAACACATGAGCTACTTACATTAACCGTCCAGATGAATTCAAGGGCTCAAAAAGCTGCTGGCACGAACCTCGAATGAAGCTGTACAGCCTAAGATACATAGTGTGAGTTTTAAATCATACAGCTTATTCACAAACACACACACATGAGTTCAGGTAGCTTGGCGGACATTGAGGGGCATGTAAAGTGTGTTAAATGGGAACGTCACAATCATGCTATATTTCAGAGGGGTGTTTTAATTATACCTTAGACGCCAGTGTATTGAATGTGACGTAAAGTATTTTTTGTTATGTTAATCATTGTGTTAATAAAAAGTATAACTATAATACTTCTTTATTTTCATTAAATTACCTTTTTAAACACCGCCAAACCTTTTTTCTCCTAAACTGGTTCCCCCTATTTTCGAAATAGTCGCGTCTATTTCACAAACTCCGCAAAGCACGACGGGAACACGTGCGGTCAACATGGCGGCGCCCTTCAGTAGACTTTGTCGACCATTGTGGAGAATAACAACTACAAGTACATTAAACAAAGGCGTGCGAAATGTTTCGTCCTCTAGGCAACAGTGGTCTGCGCAAAATGTCAAAACTGCGGGTGCTGCGTCTCCGTGGGCGCTGAATGGAGCTGTATGTCTGCAGCGGCTACCTGTGGTCTCTGAAGACGGGAGCCCCATAGAGGAAGAGTTCATGGAGCTAATGCACCTGGTAAGAAAGAATCAGTATTGCACATTAAATATATAATATTATAATTATTTTAAATACACCATGTTCATATCATAATGTCTTTTCACCATTTATGTAATTTATTTTCTTTTTCGAATTTTAGTGTGCTGTGTAGCATATTTTGAGGCTGTGTGTCTGTCTGTGTGTATTTTAATATTAGGCTCCGGCCTGCTGCCCATCTATTAATCTGCTAGCCATGAGCCACCTGTCAAACACATCTCACGGGATTGCTTATTGTTTCAGATGGAGTTCGAGAGAAGTCTGCTCTCGGACCACGAGCTGAGGCTACTGGAGGATGCTGCACGGATGAGCCGGAAACAAGAAGGGGATTATGATTCAGATGAGGAGGATTATAGGGACAACGAAATTGTTACAGCTCAAGATCTGGAAGATATTTGGGAACAGAAACCGAAGCAATTTCAACCAGCTCCGAGGTCACAAGGTAAGCATTATTTCGGCAGTGATAGAGTCTGTTTTTTGCTTTGATGTTAGTCATGTTTTTAAGACATTTCAGAGTTATAAAACATGTTGAATGTTCACAAATTACTCTACAGGTGTTGACGAGAAAGACATGAGTTCTTCAGAGCGTTGTTTAGCAGACAGCCTGATCTTGTTGGTGAAGAAGGATGTTGGCAGTCAAAAGCTTTGGCTCCTGCCTCAGATACAGTGGCAGACGGGAGAGACACTTCGACAGACGGCCGAACGTGCCCTTGCAAGTCTTCCAGGTAATACTTATATTGTAGTATCCATTTAGACAGCTTCAGGTAGGTCTGTTTTTACTGTAGAGTTGATGTCAGCGTTAACAAAAGCTGTTTTAACACCGCATCACAAGCAGGGCAAGAAAAAAACGAAACATGAATACATTTTCTGGTTAAAGAAAAATTCAGTATGGTTTATACTTTTGAGGACTAGTGGAAAGAAGTTCCTTCTTACTCACTAACAAAATCACATTAGGTATTATTCAGCCTGGCAGTGATATAATAAGACTGTAATTCTTAAATCGAATGTGCTGCAGGTTAAATTATTAAGCTTCTGTTTAATTTGTCCTTCTCTAGGTGCTGATAAAAAGGCCACTTTCCTTGGCAATGCACCCTGTGGATATTACAAATATAAATACCCAAAGGTCATTCAGAAAGAGGGCAGTGTTGGAGCCAAGGTGTTCTTCTTCAAAGCTGTGCTGTCCAGCCATAAGCACTTACCCCTAGAGAAGAATTCATTTGCTTGGGTAAAAAAGGAGGAACTCCAGGACTTCCTGAAGCCAGAGTACCTGAAACAAGTCAGACGCTTCATTATGGCTCTGTAATATGGGAAGACATGGACATGATGGAGAATATGTTGGAAAGCAGAGCACAGGTTTATGCTTTTCATATTTTTTTGGACTATGATTCCATGAGTTTGGACCCTATTCCACCAGATGACCGCAACAATCAATATGAGTGATGTTCAGATTGTCTTATAGATGTTATACAGTATGTTCCATACACTATATTGTCACCTGCTGACGAGTATTTATATATGTATTTATCCTGCTTGTAAATGAAAACTTCTATGACAATGTATGCAATATTAAAAAGGTCCAGTTTTTGACTTTATAGCATGTGATCTCATCTTTTTTAAAAGTATTTTAAAATGTAGCTTGAAATCATGTTTCCAGCAGGGTGGAAATTGTGTTGTTTGCTATTCCTATACTTCACTGTCACTTTTTTATGCGTGCACATATTTTGTCCTTTAAAATACTACCACTTGAGGGCAGTAGATGGACAAAGAATGGAGGACAGACAATCCGGACCGTCTCCCCCCTTTACGAAAACACAAAGGATATCCAATTATGCTTTTGGCCGTATGTTTCTGTCTTGTCAAATTTAAATGCCTTGTACTTGGGGTTTCTCTTCTGCACTTTTATGTCTCTCTCGCTTGCTCAGTTGTCAAAAAGTCATTGACTTTTGTGCTGTGCTGATGGAAATGGGGATTAGTAATACTATGAATTATTTAGGCACCTTGATTAATAAATCAATTAAAAATTGGCTGTAGACAGTCATTTCTGCCAGCGTTTTGGGATTTGGAAGAGAAATTACTTTTGAAATTCCTCATAAATAGTGCAGCTGTGGGCTTCGGGCTTTGCAGAGGGAGACTTTTTTAAAGAACACACACTTGAGAAAGGACCTAGCCAGTTTTTCGTAAGGCTAAGTGATATATGACTTCTTTGAAAAAACTCAATGGTACTAAAAACAGGCTTTATTTTCTTTATCCAAAAATTATTTCTTATTTTGTTTTGGGGGTGAAATATGACCCAGATATTTCTTGACCGTTTTTGTGAGAGTCAATGGACAGTGCAAGAGCTTTTCTTGGTTTTAGGGTTTGGCCGATAGATGATGCTATTGCCGATGGCTGACAGACATCACAATGTTGAGCTGGCATCGTGATTCAGTTCAGAACTTATATTAAATGAAAAATAAATACACAATACTAGAAGAATAGTTTTAACGTGGTTTATTGGAACACTACAATTAGCCCAAGTCTATATCAAATGACTTTAACTCGCTTGTCTGTGCAGCGTCACTCCATTATGGTGAAGCTGAGGGTTGTGGTTACTTCAGAAACAGAAAGAATATGCTGTAACTTTTCAGTTTTTATGGGACAGCGTTGACAATTTTCTGCACTCCTGAATGTTTCTATGTGCTTTTCATAAGTATTCATCTTTCTTCATCCTTCTTTTCAACTGCAAACTGCATGCTTTTTTCTGAAAAACTGCTCTTTTCAAGTCCATCCATAAATTCTCAGTGAGACTGATCTGGTCAATCCAGGACATTAACATCATCAATTTAAGCCATAAGTATTCACCCCCGTCAAGTCAGCATTAAATAGATGACTGCAATTTCAAACTTGTGTTTATGTGGATAGTTTGGTCACTGCAATGCAATGTTTTTTTTTTCTCGAAACTGCATGTTTCTTTCAGCAAAACTGCTATTTTCAAGTCCATCCATAAATTCTCAACTGGATTGAGATTGATCTTGCCACTCATGGACATTAACATTGTCTATTTAAGCCATTCCTGTGTAGCTTTGGGTTGTTGTCTTGCTGGAAACAAATATTGTGTCAAGTCACAGGAGTCTTGCAGTTTTTCTACAGGATTTTCCTGCATTTAGCGGTTTTCATACTCTCACAAGCCTTCAAGGTCTTGCTCTAGAGAAGCTTCCCAACAGCATGATACTGCCATCACCATGTTTCCCAAAAGATATGTTGTGTTTGTCTAACGTGTATTTAGTTTGATGGCTAAAACAACTTTATTTTGGTCTCTTCCAACAAAACCATCTTTTCCAGCTGGTCTTGGTGAACTGACCTCCCTCACTAGTGTCCGCCATGGTCACTCGTTTTTTAGGACAGCCAGCTCTAGGTAGATTTACAGCACTGGCATGCTCATTCCATTACTTAATTATTGATTTAACTATACACAAGGGATATTTAATGACTTCTTAAAGTCTTATTGTAGCCATTCCCTGACTTGAGCTTTTCAATTACTTTCCTGCAGAATTGCTTAGAGGGTTTTTGTTTGTCTTAATGATGTAAGTTCTACCACAATATTGACTCGCCACAAGTTGGAGCTCCCAGATTGAATTGTTTTTATACAATCAACTGAAACTCTTTGACTACACACAAGTAATTTACCTATCAACTTGATTCATGT